AAAAGGCCCAAAAAAAGCCACGAAAAAAAAGAAAAGGGCGGAGGGGAGAGCATGGAGGTGCACCCGAACAGGGGACGCAGCATCGCGTCGGTCCTCGAGAGCAGGGGACAAGTCCCAGCGCCACCGTCCCCCTGCTGGCTCCTTGTCCACCTGCTTCAAAAGACTTCAATGCTTGTGGTATCACAATCCTTTGATCAGCAAGACCGAACTTGAGCAGCACACAGCCATCATACCCTGCTGCTATGGCAGGCGAAGGGTCCTCTGCCTTCGGCCTTTTGCAGGTCCAGCGCCAGCTACCCCAAAGTCTCCGTTCACCACCAAAAGCCTACAGCCCCATGTTTCTCCCTGATTTTGGAGCAGCAGGCCAACATCCATAGATACGTCTGCCAAGCAAGCGCTGCATCGCAGGAAGCCTCGTATTTTGCTTTTCCTTGCCAACCCTGGTTCTGGCTCCCCCACCCCTGCCCAGGGTGGAGACCAGCGCCCGCCGACTCCTGAGCCTGCAGCCCGGGAAGCACAGACCTACCCTGAACATGGATGGGCACCCACCATCCGTCACCGAGAGCCCAGGCAGCAGGGTCCCATCCTGCTCGCAGGCTTTGCCCACCTAAGTAGAGGTGACAAACGAGGTGGCATTTCCCGATCGGCAGGCAGGGCAGGACACGACCCAGGCTCGCCCTGCGGTGCCAGCGCTGCGGGGGCACGGCTGGACAGGCCCTTGGAAAGCGCCCCTGGTCCTTCAAGCCCCAGATGAGACCGTCTGGCTTTACGTGGCTCCCGGCTCTTCCCAAGCGCATTTTGGAAAGCTTCCAAGGGATAAAAGAAGCAGTTGTTCCCCTTTTAACACTGGATTCGTAGGAGGTTTGAATGAAAAACTGGTAATTCGTTTTCTCAAAGTATTTTTTTTTTTTTTTTTTAACAGCTCTGCGTCCAACACTCCAGAGCCACGGGCCTGGGCCACCCTGGAACCACAGAAATCAAAACGCTGCAGAGACAGATAATGAAGTTGTCATAATCCTTGTCAAATATTTTGCCAAATATAATAGGAATTGAGACTACAGCAAAGCAGAGCTCATTCAGGCAGCTCTTGCTGCAAGTATTTGCTTGGATCCAACGTATACACACCTGAAAACAGGGGGGGTTTAGGGAAAGCGCAGACACAGTCTCAGCTACGGGACTGAAGACCGGCGACGGCTCATCAGTGCAGGCTGTATCTCTGCTCAGGAAGCACAGCCCTGCTGTAAAAAAGGGTGAGAGAAAGGGACCAGAAAAAAGCAAGGCACCGAACGAGCAGACGCCAAACCGCAAGCGCCAGTTCCTCGAGACAAGGCGAAACGGCCTCTCAAGGTGCAGCTTCTACAGCCACGTGCACCGGCAACCTGCCACGTGTTCTGCTCTCTTGCTGTTCCCCGGGAAGATGGACCACGGTGCCCTGGGATAGAGAGAGGGGCAGGGAGCAAGCACCGCTCACCTGGCCTTAGGGAAGGGAAAGAAAAAAGAAGAAAAAAAAAAAAAAAGAAAAGAGAATAACCTCCTTCTGAGCGCTGGCTCGCTCATCACCCACGCCTCCCTTTTCCTAGCGGTTTGATTTTGACATGCGGAAACCAAAATATTTAACATTTCCAAGGGGAAATGTGCTGTCAGCATTTTATGGATTTGGGAGAGAAACACGCAGATGTCTGCGTGACCTCCAGCACCTCCCGGCTCGGGCCGGCCGCGCTACCCCAGTGGCCATCGCTTTCCCATTCCCCCGAAAGAGGGGCAGATTCTTGGGACGTTACAGCCACACGTCTCAGTTATTTTTACCCTGGAAGTTAAATACTGAATCACGGCTACTATAAACAAATGTGTTTAATTTTGAACTTGTAAATGTTCTTCATGCCAGTTTTTGAAGTTACTATAAACTAGGCCATGAAAAGGGGTGGATTTTTTTTCCAAGAGTGGCTACTAAACATTGCTCAATACCCACCAAAATCCCTTCATTACTCCTAGCCGTGTGCTCGATACCCACCCAAACCCCTTTTGCTACTCCGAGATGTGTTTGCCAAACAAACTCAAACCCAGCACTTCTGCATAGGAAAAGATTTACAATGATCAAAATCACCCTCAACCTGACAGATCCCCTCCATCACAAACCCCCCCAAGCAAGCAGGAGGAAGGACGCAGCAGGGAAGGCTGGAAACCCAGAGCCGGGGCTCTACCCTTGGCTTCCCCGCGGACCAGCACTTGCCAAGGCGTGGGCTGCAAACTGCCAGCGGCACCGCGCCGGTTCGGCCGCCCGGCCCCGGCACTGCCGAGCGACAGCTCCACTCGCCATCTGCTCCCTAATTAGTTATTTGTTATACACCGTGTTCTTAGATATTAAATTACTCAATGAAGTCGAAAGCGCATTAAATACTTCCCTAATATTAATCAAAGCTGTCAACAATTACGCAATTGTTACACGCGACCTACGGAAACGTGGCGGGAAGAGGGATGAAATGAAAGGCTGTTTGTCTGCAAATTGCACCATTAATTAACAGACACCTCCCCTAAAAAGCAGCGAGACAAACACCGCCATAGACTTACCCTGTTCATTAGCACAGAATTTACTTTAATAATAAAAATCACTGCCATGGACTCACTTGCCAAGTCCCTTTCCCTTCCCCGAGGCAGTCAATCTCCGTGTCTTTAGGGTACACAGAAAACCTCCTCCGCCTTTCCTGCGGCCTTCAACGTCAGAAAAAGAAAAAAAAAAAAAAAGAAAAAAAAAGAAAAAAAAGACAAGACTAAGCAGAAAGCTGCGCTTCCGCGTGA